ACTGCCGCAACACCAAGCGGAGAGCCTAGGCTCTGATTGCCATGCTTGCAGACGGGTCGTCGCCCTGATTGAACCCGTGTTACTTATGCAGACTGTGGACGCCCATTCCTGGTTGCCTGCGGCATCTTAAGTGGATTCATAGTACATTTTGGCCATAATGCATAATTGCTGTGGATTTAAGGAACCATAACATTCGGATAAAGTTAATGAGTTTCTTCACCACATCCTCTAATCAGAAATAAGCTATTTAAGTTTATACATTTTAAGTCAGAGCTCCAGCGTGATCTGGCCAGAATCTTAACTCCGGAAGTCTTTCAAAAACTCCAGAGCCTGCAAATCACTGCACATTTTCTCAACTCGTGCAATTAAACTGGACACGGCCACCCTCATTTCCTTTTCCACGTTGATTTTTGCTCTATACTTGCTTTTTATTGCAGTGACCGCCGAAAACCCAACTTCGCACAAATACGACGTAGAAAATGGAATTATAAACCAAACTCTAAATGACTGACATCATATTTGCGATATTTTCGTTTCTTCACACCAGTGCCACCGGTTAAAGGCATACTTTCTTTATCTGCACTATTACGTTTATAACTGGTCAAAAATCGGTCCATTCTCACAGATACAAGAGGCAAAAATCGCAAAATTATTTATCAAAGACGACAAACAAGAAGTCATATAACACTAACAAAATTACAATATTAACTTATTTACTAATTTATGTCACTGTTTATGCATATATGAAGCGCTGAGTTTAACTGCACTGGACTCAAATTATAAGTCGACTGACTGAATCGAGCCGGCAACGCTTGCTTATATACTTTCCGCAATAGCTTCCAGAACATTCCAAATCTGTCTCGAATGTTCTACGCATCTCGACGTGTCTAGTGCGATCGAGAAGAGGCAGCGTTTTCTTTCACGTTTTTGTTTAGTTCGGCCAAATGTCTGTGTTTAATTAATTATGCAGCTTCGGCAACATTTCGCGACGAGGGAATCACTGCCCTAAAGTGTAATACTGTACACATAGAGGATCTCAACAAATATATTAAAATACATATTGTCCAAATTGATCTAATAGCAGTCTTAAGAGCTTCGTGTCTGAAGACGTCTAAAAATGTACCAATCCAACTTCCAACGTTGATAATTATCATATTCTAACACTCTGGTCAAGGTGCTCTCATCTAGGCTTCTCTGACAATATCATCAATTTGCGAAAACGAGTTCAAAGTACTTCTATACAACGAAAGGAGATCGCAACCATATCAGATTATAGTAAATGAATGTATAAAGACATCGATTTATGATCTGATATGTTCAATGAGAGATTTCACTCAGCTGCTAGAAGATCGGCCAGAAAATTAATGAATATCAGCGCTACTATTGCATTTGCTTCCTTTTGCTCTTCAGGAATCCAACCTACTGGGCCCGCGATCGCCGAGAGGACGACTTTGAGCTCATCTGCCCGGACGGCCGACGCACTGACGTCAACAAGTGGAAGACCTGTAATCTCGGCAGTGTGCCTAGCAACGTGGTTGTTACTGCTTCTTTCAAGTCCGAAAATGAGCGAATGAATATGTGGCGCCTGCTGCAATATGGACAAGAGTTCTACGCTTCAGACAGGTCAGTTCGGTTGGTATCTTTTGAATGAGCTTCTTGCTTTTTACATGTAGACCCCTGCAGACGCAGTCTCACTGGCAAACATTTCTGCATTCGAGCTACAGTAAGGGTGTCTTGGTGTTATTCGCGGATGCATGTTGTTGAGCTTACTTCAGTTTTGAGTGAAAATGTTGCGTGAAGATATTCGAATGTCAGCTCCACCAGAAGACGACGACGGATTCCTCTGGACCAGCTGTCGATTGACTTTACTGATACATTCATGCTGACGCTGTTTCCAGGGCAATCTCATTCGATTGCGGTGAAAAGGTGCTAAGCTTTGGTCCGTCATGTGACGAACATCATCAGAGCAAGGAGGGTATCATCGTCACAACCAAATTCAAGCTAACGAGTCGAGAAAACTCACCGGAAAATCCCTAAAAAGTGGTACACATACTCTACATCTTTGATCAAGTATAAAGTGATTTGGTTAGTTAAGTTCATATGTACAGAGACAGACACACTTACACGTATCGAAGGTGACATATGACCTTAACTATTTGATCAAGTATAGAGTGATTTGGTTAGTTACGGTCATGTGTCAACCTCGATGCATGCGAATGTGTCTGTCTCTGTATGTGTATGTGTCTGTTTGTGTACGCTTATGCACGAAACCCGCAGTGATAGGTCAAAGTAATTATGACAACAAAAAGGAACGTCTGTTTTTGCCCATTCAGGTTTGATGACCACTATCTCCTCCTTTCTACATGCATGTTATGACCATCACTCTGATCGCGCAAGGTCGGAAAGAATGCGCTAAAAGTACAAGGAAGTGACTATGACTAGAAGTACTTTTTAGGGATTTGTCAGTGACTTTTCTTGACTTGTTAGCTTGATTTTTGTTGTGACGATGATACCTTGCTCTGATGATGTTCGTCACATGACGGACGAAAGCTTAGCAACTTTTCACCGGAATCAAAGGAAATTGCCCCAGAAACAGAGTCAGCATGAATGTATCAGTAAAGTCAATCGACAACTGGTCCAAAGGAATCCGTCGTCGTCTTTTGGTGGAGCCGACCTTCGAATCTCTTCACCCAACACTTTCACTCGAAACGGAAGTAAGCTCACCAATTATGAGACAAGATATTCCTCTTTTCTTTGCATAAAAGGACGCAATTCATTCTCGTCGTTGGCACAGCAATCGGATTTCCAAAACAGGCTACTTATCAGTCCTCCCATTTTGGCCCCCTGAGCGAAGCTATTCCGATAAAAGCATATTGCAATACTTCCTCAATATTGTCCATTTGATCACTTTCTCCATGGCCTACGGTCCGGGTTTTCGTAAATAGACTAGTTCAGCTCATATAGTCAGCCAAACTATCTGAGGATCATGTTGGTTTGATCCGGCTTTTACACCTTGTCCCGAGCGCCAGAGAGACCTTAAATGAGGTATCTAGTCCTGCGTCCTCTGCCAGAGGACCGTTGAATTGGTATATTCCCAGACGTGACATTGGCGTCATCACGTATGACTGACACATGAAGGACCTCCTCGAACAACTTTCTGTTCTATCGAAGTTATGAAGACCAGATGGTGTGGTCTTTTGTGTGGTCATAGTCTCCTTTCGTTGTATAAAAGTTGTTTGACCTTATTTTCGCCACTTGGTCATGTTGGTAGGAAGACTTAGAGGAACGCACCCAGTCTGGAGTCCATTGTCTGCGGTCCGGAAAGTTGAACTGTGGATGTGGTACATCACCAGACGTTTCGCCGGCATTTTCAGTGAGTTTCGCCATTCTTAGCACCATTCAACAACTCGTCAAAAGAGACAAGTGAAGCCGATGCTTTGACCAAATGGTGAAATGTTTGCGAATGTACCACGTCCACGGTTCAACGTTGGAAATGATCATGCAGACAATGGACTCCGGACTAGATGCGTTGCTCTAAGTCTTTCTGTTCTATCGTTGTGGCATCACTCCTCGTCCATATTTTTTTTGTCCCAGTTGCTAGTGTGGCATCTTTTTTTCAATTCGTAAAAAAGTAGGGTTTCGAGACTACCAGTAAATCATTGTAATGAGATGTATTCACCCTATTTCGT